ACATTATGTTTACTTTATAATGAACTCCCAGACAAATATCAAACACTTGAATTGAAATCAATAATCAGTTACGAAACAAAGTATGTGTAAATTGAAGGCAAAGATAAGACCAAAAATGTAGATTTTTTCCAGTCTTTCGATGAGAAATAACACAATAATTATTTGGATTAAAATTCTTACAGTATCTCAATGTATGACAGATAAAGACATGTATGAGTCCGGTTTGAGAGCATTTGTTGCTTAGTTTTGACCATATTTTTTTCGTTTGCTAAATTTTTTTGATAGAAATTATATATTTGATCATTTTGCATCTAGTACATTATACCCTTTATCTAGGATTGCCCAGGTATAATCGTTAAATTCTGTGCCTAATAATTGTTTTCAAATGAGCTGTACTGCACTTTAAATGTATTTATTAGCTAAACCTTAGAATGCAATTAAAATTAATTTATCTATTTCAATTAAAACTTTCCTTAAATATCAATTAATTTCTCAAACATTAAGTGGCATTAATGTCTAAACACGGTGATAAATGGTTTTTACGTTAATAAATAGTTTAATTATATTATAATTTCTATAATACATTTGTAAACAAACAATAGAAAATAAATTTATTTAAATAAATCACTTAAATAACAATAATAATATTGATTTAAATGCAAAAATGGATTTATTTCGCGATAAATGTCAGTCAAATGTGATGTCATATACATGTGATATACCTGTCGGTCACCTGTCCTTAAGTGCGACAGAACTTGAAATTACTTTTTTTCTTTTGATCGAAAAATAAATCTTATTTAACATAATATTTTGATAAGAAAGAAGAAAAATTGGATTCCTATAGAATTGAACGCAAGAATATTCCGATATTCAATGACAGAGAGAGAGAGAGAGAGAGAGAGAGAGAGATTGAGATGCATAAAAATACCTGTCAATCCTCTATCAATGGCAAAATCAGGTAAAATAATGAGAAAAATGACAAAATCGATGATAAAGACGAGATATGTTTGGGAACAGAGTTGGAAATGTATGTTCAAAAAGAGCTTTAGGTCTTCTCTCACATGCCGTCGCATACTATCCATTAAACTATACTTGATTTTGGGCGGAGAGGCGGTCTTAGGCAAAGTATTGCCGGCCGCTAAGCTATGGGCCGACTGGTGAGCGGTGGCCAGACTATGGTTGAGATCGCGGACAAAGCGGCGCTCGTGAAACACGGGTAAAGACATGCGATTGACTCGATTGCGGTCGACGTGATGTCTGGTCAGAGTGTCTCTCATTTTGACGACCGGCGGTACGGCAGAGACGGCGCCGAAGTCGGCGATAGATTTTGGCCGCTCTCGCAGTGAGTTTATGTTGACGTACTGGTGGTCACTCTCCTCGCGATTCTTACGCAAAAACACAACTGTCTCGCACTCGTCGATCAGTGGCTGCCTATTGAGCGCCGGACTGTTCATAACGCCAACCACTCGCTTATTGACACCGTTTAGGGCCGACTTTTGATCGCTGGTCTCAATTGGGCGCAGGAGTAGCGCACCGATCAGGCCGTGAAGTGTGATACCTGTGATTGAAATTGTAATTTATAGCTTTGGATACATGATTAGTGATTATACGTTATTATTGATACCATACCTCCCATGAGTAGTAAAGTGCCGCTCAGTTCAAAGGTATATAATTGCCATTCAATGAATAGCGGGAATATGAAGGCGCCGGCCGTCGACCCCGCGTACGATATGCCGCACGCTATGGCCCGCTGTTTGCCAAAGTATTGGGCGATAATCGCCGGCAATAAATTGGTCACTAAACCCACACCAATACCTGTCCGTCATATATAAACAGTTAATTTTTTTATTGATATTATTTTATTACTAAAACTATTTTTTACTTATTTATTTTTTTTAGTTTAAAACGGTTTATGTATTGACTCAAAAATTCTGGTCTATTATTAAATTTTATAGTTTTTTGTTAAAATATTTCCTCAATTCTTCTTTTGGTCGGATTTGTAGTGAAAATATTGTCTATAAATAAGTCGAAAGAATTTTCGTAATAATAGAAGAATTCTTGTCATTATTATCATGAGATCTAATCGTGAGATAATAATCGATTGAATGGTAAAACATATATAAAATACAAATAAGAAGATTCACTCAATCATTATCTGATAAAATAACTCCAATTACTTTAACAATGCAATTGAGATATAAAAATAGTCTACTTTAATGTAAATTCACAACCATTCAAATGAGATGCCATTTAAATATTTAATTAAATTACAAATTTAAGTATAAATAATTTTTAATCACACATTTATAGTAAACAATTTAGTGATAAACACATTTATAATTAATTAGGGTTTATGTGGAAAACAATGTTTATTAACTATTGTTTTTACTCGAGATATCTGTTTAAAAGGTTTTTATGCATAAACTATAAATAATTAAAAATATTTTCTATTCACGGCTTAAGTATAATAGTATTTTATTTTCGGCAACAGATGTTACTGTAAATCCGGATTTTGTTTATGAATTCTGTCATTATATTAAAATATTCTTATATTTAAGTAAATATATTAACAATTTATAAGTTATAATAATTAAGTTAAGTTAAGACGTGTTTTTAAACAATACAAATATTCATACCCTGAATGACTCCCAAGAAAATAGTGATTTGAATGATATCTGTGGCCAAATAGCAGATGGATGTGGCGAATGAGCAAATAAGTACACCCGTGAACACCAGTGTCCGGATCTGGAAATAATGGCTCAAAAATGCGGCCAATAAACCGGTAATACTCGCAAAACTGCCGATTAGGGACACCGGCCACGAGGCCTGTCGGTACGTACAGTCGTACTCCGACACAAACGCACCTTTAATTAACAAAATTAGTAATTAATAGAATTAACTTTTAATTTACAAGTTAATAATTTTTGAAACACATGATAAAAAGTTTAATTAAATATCTTTTATAATTATTAATATACGTATTCTGTATAAGAATTATTATATAAATTATTTTGTGTCCGGAATTTGCGTTAATTCATACCGAATAGGAGTCCAATTGATCGGAATATACCGAAAGTGAATACATTAATCCAAGAGCACGAGAACGCTATAATCCATTTCCAATATGTGGGCGTATTTGGATCCAAATTACCCTGGTTTATTTTTGTTGACATTATTTCACAAATACAGTACTTTTTTCTTGTTATTTATTGTATAGTCATTACTAATTGTCATAACATTTTGTATGTATATTTAGGTCATTTGTACACAAATATGCATACAATTAGTTTATGTTGATTTACAATACAATTAATTAACTGTTGTTTTGTTTGATTGCTTTTATTAAAACATTATTTGCCTAGATATGAATAAATAAACAATATTAGTTTTAATGATTTTATAAATAGATCAATTTATTCAATTAATATTATTTGTGATCAACATGTATTTTTTATGAACATTATGCTTAAAATAAATTATTATTAATTATAATTTATAATTAAGTAAATAGGATATCTTTATTAGTTATCTAAAATATTAAGCTACTGTATGCAATAAATTGCTGTATTAATACCTCACTATTAATTGATGTGTTGTTTACTATAATTTATATGACATTTAGCCTGAAATTTCTCATTTAATCAATAATAGAGGAATCAGTGGCGGAAATGTGATTATATTATGTATATTTGTTATACAACCCCATTATCACAAATAACTATAGAATTTGCTATAAGTATTTCAGAAGACATTTATGCAATTAATTTAATTTCTTGCCAATTATTAATATATTTAATTATAAATATACTGTATATTTTATTTTAAAACTAAATATTATAATAAACTCTTTTAATTAAGTAAAAGTTTTAATAGATAAATTTATTTCACTGAAGTTGGTATAATTAATTTAAAACAATAGTAAAACTTACATGTTTTAGTTACCAAAAGAAAGTTGTATTTTATGCTAATTTATATTTAATTTATTCGCGTCTCTAAGTTTATATTCACTCAATTCTTTAAAGCCAATAATTTATTCACTAATTAAATACATTTATCATTCAATGATTGGTAAATATTATACAAATACTGTTTATATAAATATCAGATATGTATATAATATTAAATATGTAAAACATTATATAATATAACAAATGTAAAACTAGTTAAATCAAAGTGTTATTACATAAACAGTGTTTCCTTTTTTTGCTGTTAACAGAATTCAAATGTGATTTGATTTTAAAATATTATATTTTTTGCTTGTATTTGAAGAAACATTTTAAATAAGAAATTTTGCCGAATATTTATTTTGATTTTTGATTACAATTTCATTTTCACTTATATTTCACACATTCAACAGAATTGAACGACAAATATATCAGTTTTTTATATTAAAATATTATTATTATTATCCCTTCTTATATTTACTTTTTATTTGCACTGAAAACACATTTTCAATCGGATTTATAATATAATGTTAAAAGTATTTTAACAATTTATATTTTTCATCGAATGGAATTCAAAAATCACAAAAATTACCAAGATCATAAATAAATAATAATATATAAATATATAATTATAAAACAATAAAATAACCAAAAGTTCTGTATACCTTTACAGTCATTTAATAATTAGCACTTTATTTCTCCCACAAAATTATATTGTATAAAGACTTTATATCACTGATTTAATAAATCATTAATAATTTAATTAAAACTTAATTATAATCACACAAAAAATTAATTATAATTACATAAAAAATATAATAATTACTTATTAAAATGTATTTCACATTAAACAGATTTGTGTTGAGAGGTAGGGATGGTATGTATCCCTCATTCACGCGGACATCAAATGTATTCAAAAATCATATCGAAAGACATCGAAAGAGAGACTGGAATTATACACCGTATAAGTGATGGTATGGTATGTGTGGTGTGTTTTAATTGAATCTAACCTAATATAGTGTGTGTGAAGTGATATTATGTGAAGAGATATCAATTTGTGCAAACACTGTAACTATAGACACATCACTAATGCAATCACTTATAATCATTTAATTTATAATACATTCAATGTATATATAAATAACACTTAAATTATATAATATCATAAAAATAAGTTTATATCTTATAAGTTATAACCAACTGTCGAGGGAATGCATTGTTGAATATGATATATAAAGATACAATATTACAAAGATATTATATTAAAAATATTTACAAATTGATTTAATCGTTAATAAAAAACACTTCAATCATTTATTTTGAATATCAAATTATGATTACATGTGTTTAGTAAATACAAATAAATATAAAGAAATCTTTACATTTAATACAGAAATGAATGAAAAAATTAATGGGAAATTTAACAATATTGTTAAATACACAATACGTGATGAAAATCATGGTTTACAATGAGACCCTATTTAATGCGACAAACATTATGTTTACTTTATAATGAACTCCCAGACAAATATCAAACACTTGAATTGAAATCAATAATCAGTTACGAAACAAAGTATGTGTAAATTGAAGGCAAAGATAAGACCAAAAATGTAGATTTTTATTGTAAATAAATTAATATTTAAAATTATAATAAAATTACAACAAATTGCGATGAAATAGCAAACATGTGTAAAAACCATAAACATTAATAAAAGTAAAATAAACTAATTTAAATGTTTTACTCATTTATAATCAATATAAATATTCAGAAATACTGCATCTTTGAAAAGTGAAATATTGCATTCAGTGTTGAAAATGTTTTATCAAAATACTAGCGGATAATCACATCTTCTATAAGTTAATCCCAGACAATGAATCACTTGTTATATACGAGTATTAATGTGCTATCATTTCCCATTAAAAATCATTTGTCAATTATTTTTTTTGTGATAGATTTGCCACGAGTTTAATGGGATTTTACTGGAAGATAATCTCTTATGCGATATACAGTACAGACATTTAAGTAGCTATTAATGGCATCAAAAACTTTTGTTGATGTGAACTCTCTATAAAACGAGAGCTTATTTTTCCGGTATTATATATTGGTCTCGTCTATTGGTGTCTAAATCTTTGACATATTTTCCAATTCCTTGAACTTAAACCCAGTGTTTAAGACTCAAAAAAGCTAATGATTTCATCTTTTTGTGTTAGTTTTCGTGAGTGAAATGTTTGCCACAAATAAATTGTTTGCCATTAAAATTTAAGTAAAATTTAGTCAAACATTTCATGTTTTCTCAAAAATAATCTGTTATTTCTCGACAAAACGATATAAGAAAAAGTAGTGTAAAAAATTACAAAACTTAGTGCTTTACTTAATTACGAAAGCAAAAGTAAATTCTCAATCTGAAACTTAAAATACGGAACAAAACTCAACAGTAATTAAAATAAATTAACATATGATTTAATCGTTAGTTTAATAGTCATTAATTAATTTTTCATTAGTTAAATAATACAATGATTAAGTTTTCGATAATTTTATACTTCTATTGTGTATCGCTTTTAACCAAAAATATTTTCGCACAAAATGTGTCCGAAACTCAACTAAACATTGATTTAAACAACAATTCATTGAGCGCTAACCACACATATATAGAGGACACGGATGTGTTAGCCGGTGATAGTGTAGACATTGGAGGCATTAATGATACCTATATTCAACAAAATCTAACATTTGGCCAAAACGCGAGCGAACCCGAGCTTAACGTCACATTCAATACAAGTTCCTTCAGTACTGAAGAAGAAGATGAAGAATACAGAGAAGACAACAGAGAGTTTGTACTATCGCTCCTGCTGTACAGAGATAGCCTTCGCCAAGGCGTGTTCTGATCTCAGCTTGACGTTCTTCTAAAGCTAGTTTCAGACTCGTTTAAGAACCTGAGGCCCTACTTCAAAGACAACCTCTGCAGAAACGTGTTCAACGAAGAGCTCAACGATTCCAAGAGTGATAGTGAGGCGAAAGACGTGTGGATTGCGTACAGTAAGTCATGGGGTCGAGTGTTTGACTCTCTGGTCAACGATATTAGGCCAAAGATAATGACTTCGGGTGCGGGAGATTCGCTCGGATCTGATGTATCGTTGGACTGTCTGCTGGCACTCATGGCCACCGTTTCGGGTCTTAAACAGCAAAAAGATTGGGCCGTAAAATGTGAGTCTTATATAATAATACCAATACACATGTAATGGTGTTTAATTGCATGTATCGTATCATTCAGTGTATGACTCTTCGGGCCGACCATTCAGTGAGGGCAGTCTCGACGGCACGATCACAAACCTGGGCGCCTACGACCAGTGCCTGTCCATCGATTCGGACACAACAATGACTGAACCATTCGTGGGTCAGTACTGTGTCGTCAAATACCAGTTGGCATTACCGCCAAAACCCAAAAAGCTTACGCTGAGGACTAAACTTTTCAACTTCACGGGCACTCCAGTCGAGGGAACCGTATGTTTTTCACATCTGCACAAAATAACAATGTTTTAATGAATTAATTTGATTGCAATTTGAAGTTCTTGGAGGAGTTCTCGCTGTCGTCGCACGCGTTTTACGAGCGCTACGGCCGGACAGGTATATGCATACCATCGGCCTGTAGTACACATGACTTTCACTCGTTTCTTAAGAGATGTAAGTTCTTTAGCAATGAAAATGAATGACATTTTTGCACTATATTTATATACAAATCGATGGCTAATTGAATAATTGAATTATGCTTTTTGTTTCAGTTATATCCGAAAGCCATATGAATATGACTATCAATGACTGTCACACCAGAGTATTGCCTGAATTGAATCCATTGCAACTCACGATTGTTGTCATCTTCGCTGTCGTCCTATCGTTGATGATATTAGCGACAAGTGTTGACCTAATCATCGCCTACACCAACGACAAGAACTACATACCATTCATCAGCTTCGAGAC